TGCGTGGGACTTATACTAAACAATTACTTGTCATTTATCTGGAATTCAGATTTAACCTGGGCTTCCTATATTTTTGTTTGCTAAATCTGGCAACGCTAGTCAGTGAAAAATAAAATTCACTTCACAGAAACCCACAGCACGGCTAATGTCCACGAGAATGCCTTTAAAGAAACACGGCCCTTGATCCACACAGACAGACACTACATATCATAAATGCAGGTCAAAATCCTTCCTTTAATGTGATTCATGTTATTTTAACGACTTTTAGGTTAAACTCAGATTCCCAGTTACAGGCGGCCTTGGCTAGTTTTATCCGGGTAACATTTGAGGCTGCACATGTGATCACGGTCTTGGGTTTCCTCTGAGGTGTTAAAAGCCGTGTCTCTTGAGGTACTTGGCTCGTGCAAGGACATCATTGCAGAAGTCACAGCTCAGGTCCTGGCTGCTTTGGACGTAGCCAGCACCCCCACTGTAGGCGCAGAGTCCACCTGAAATGCACGAGATGATAGGTGAATACTGACCTAGGGTACTCAGCTCAGCAGTTAACTCTGAGTCTCTTTACTAACTGCCTATCAGGATTCAGCTGGGGAATCTGGTGCACTGTAATACATTTGTCCCTATTAATTCTGTGCTTGAGACAACTGACTGACAGCGTTACACGTACCTCTCAGGTACTGGTCAGGGGTCCAGGTTGGAAACCTCCTCTGGATTTCTTTGATTCTAGTAGTCAGAGCTTCAGTCATCTGGGAAACCTGAGACTCACTAATCCAGTATGCGGGAGCGTGAGAGCCAGGTTCCTGGATGGAGGGAGGCAGAGGAGAAGCCACGTAAGCTGGGTGGGAGGGTGATCTGGCTTCTTGGGCTCAGTGGCGCTTGTTCATTTCCTTTCTCTTATTCTCCTTTCACCTTTGATGGAACCAGTGCCACCTTCAGTCTCCCTGTGAGGTAGGTTACATACGGTGGTCATAGCCTCCCTTATGGGGAACAAATTTACCAGATAGATGGAGAGAACAAACCACTGACAGTGCACAAACTACATTTGGGACTCATGGTCAGAATATCCTACAGTGCCAGGCACGGTGGCTCATGCCTGTAATCCCAGCACTTTGGGAGGCCGAGGCAGGTGGACCACTTAAGCTCAGGAGTTCAAGACGAGCCTCAGCAACATGGGAGAACTTCATCTCTACAAAAAATACGAAACTTAGCCGGGCGTCATGGTGTGCGCCTGTAGTCCCAGCTACTTGGGAGGCTGAGGTGGGAGGATTACCTGAGCCTAACAGGATGGATCGATTGAGCCTGGGAGGCAGAGGTTGCAGTAAGCCATGATTGCTCCACTGCATAGCCTGGGTGACAGAATGAGACCCTGTCTAAAAATAAATAAATAAAAATAAAAAAACTGCGGTAAGCAGGACAAAGAACAGAAGGGAAAATCCCCAGATCCATGCAAGCACAGAAACCCATGATGAGTATCCTTGGGTTGACCTACGCTCATTATAAGAGTGAAAAAAAAAGCACATCCCTGGGTAGAGAATTCAAATACTGAGACACACGATATACGTGCTAGCATGCAAAGCAATAGCACTCGTGCATGCAGGAGACCCCGAAACATGCATAACAGCAACACCCATCCCCTCTCTCATACGAATAATCATATAAGCTTTCCTTGAAGGGATTTCCCCATGTCACATGAGGCTGTCTCATTCTCCACCCAGCTACCAGAGTGTACTTTTGCTTTGCAATAAACTTCTTCGCCTACTTTTACTTCGGACTTGTGCCCCAATTCTTTTGTGCGGCCAAGTCAAGAACTTGACCTGGCCCTCCAACAGCACCTGGAGATCAAACAGTAAAGCTATTTATACCAGTTAGAATAGCTACTGTCATGCAAAAATGCAAAAGACCGGTGCTATAATTTGAATGTTTGTCCCCTGTGAAACTCATGTTGAAACTTAATCACCAATGTGACAGTATTGAGAGGTGGGGCCTTTAAGAGATGATTAGATTAATCTATTCATAGATTAATGAAGGGGTGGCCTGCCCCTCCACACCTGTGGGCGTTTCTCGTTAGGTGGAACAAGAGACTTGAGAAAAGAAACGAGACACAGAGACAAAGTACAAAGAAAGAAAAGGTGGGCCCAGGGGACCAGCACTCAGCATACAGAGGACCCACGCGGGCACCGGTCTCTGAGTTCCCTCAGTATTTATTGATCATTATCCTTACTGTCTTAGAAAAAGGGAGGTGACAGGATAATAGGATCATCGTAGGGAGAAGGTCAGCAGTAAGACATATGAATAAAGATCTCTGTGACATAAGTTTAAGGAAAAGTGCTGTGCCTTGATATGCATACGTAAACATCTCCATAAACCTTTTTAGTGCATAAAGAGCAGCATTGCCCTAGCAAGTCCCACCTTTCGCCCTAAGGCGGTTTTCTCCTTTCTCAGTAAACAGAACATACAATCGGGTTTTACACCGAGATGTTCCATTGCCCAGGGATGGGGAGGAAACAGATGCTTTTCTCTATTTCAACCGCCAAGAGACCTTCTTTCCTCTTATACTAGTCCTCCTCAGCACAGACCCTTCACAGGTGTCAGGCTGGGGGAGGATCAGGTCTTTCCCTTCCCACGAGACCACATTTCAGACTATCACATGGGGAGAAACCTTGGACAATACCTAGCTTTCCTAGGCAGAGGTCCCTGCGACCTTTGGCAGTGTACGTGTCCCTGGGTACTTGAGATTAAGAGAATGGTGATGACTTTTCACAAGCATTGCCTTGAGGCACTTGTTTAATAAAGCACACCCTGCACAGCCCAAAATCCGTTAAACCTTGAGTCACCACAGCACGTCTCTTGCAAGGACAAGGTTGGGTCGGTCATAGATTAACAGCATCTCAAATACAGAACAAAATGGAGTCTCTTATGTCTACTTCTTTCTATACAGACACAGTAGCAGTCTGATCTTTCTTTTCCCCACAGATTAATGGGTTAGGGGGTTCATGGTTCTCACAGGAGTGGGGCTGATGGCTTTTTAAGAAGAGGAAGAGAGACTAAGCCAGCACACTCAGCCACCCACCATGGGAGGCCCTGAGCCACCTTGAACTCTGCAAAGGGTCCCCACCAGCAAGAAGGCTCTACCAGATGTGTCCCCTTGACCTTGGGGTCCCCAGCCTCCAGAACTGAGACATAAATTTTACTTTTCATAAATTACCCATATTGAGGTATCCATGTTATTTTATGTTGCTTATTCTGTAATAAGCAACAGAAAACAGACTAAGACAACGAGGGTTGGTGAGGATGTAGAGAAACTGGAATCATTGTACATTGTTGATGGCAATGCGAAATGGTGCAGCTAGCGTGGAAAACTATACTGTGGTTTCTCAAAAAATTAAAATTAGAACTACTATACGGGCTGGGTGCAGTGGCTCACACCTGTAATCCCAGAACTTTGGGAGGCCAAGGCGAGTGGATCACCAGGCAGGAGTTTGAGACCTGCCTGGCCAAAATGGTGAAACCCCATCTCTACTTAAAATACAAAAATTAGCCAACTGTGGTGGTGGGGGCCTGAAATCCCAGCTACTGGGGAGGCTGAGACAGGAGCATTGCTTGAACCCAGTAGGTGGAGGCTGCAGTGAGCTGAGATCGTGCTATTGTACTCCAACCTGGGCAACAAGAGTGAGACTCTGTCTCAAAAAATAAAAAAAAAAAGTAAAAATTAATACCATATGATTTAGTAATCCCCTTTCCGGGTATTCATCCAAAAGAATTGGAATCAGGATCTCAAAGAGATATCTGAGCTCCCACATTCATCGCAAAGCTATTCCCAAAAGCCAAGAGGTAGAAACAACGTAAATGTACCTGACAGATGAATGAATAAAGAAAATGTGGTATACACATATCATGGAATATTATTCAACCTTAAAAAGAAGGAAATTCTGCATTATGTGACAACATAGATGAACCCTGAGGACACTATGTAAGTGAAATAAGCCAGTCACAGAACAAATACTGCATGATTTCACTTATATGAGGTATCTAAAATAGTTAAGTTCGTAGAAGCAAAGAATAGAATGATGGTTGCCAGGGGCTGATGGGGAGAGGGAAACCGGGAGTTGCTAATTAATGGGCATAAAATTTTAGTTATGCAAGACAAGTAAGACCTAGAGATCTGATGTATGACATTGTGCCTATAATTAGCAACACTGTATTGTACACTTACACATCTGTAGACAGCATTATCCTTAGCAAACTAATACATGAACAGAAAACCAAATACCACATGTTCTCACTTATAAGTGGGAGCAAGATGATGAGAACACATGGACACACAGATGGGAACAACACACACTGGGGCCTATTGGATGGTGGAGGGCGGGAGGAGGGAGAGAATCAGGAAACATAACTAATGGGTAGTAGGCTTAATACCTGGGTGATGAAATAATCTGTACAACGAACCCCCACGACACACGTTTACCTACGTAACAAACCTGCACATAAACCCCTGAACTTAAAAGTTAGAAAAAAAGGCTTTCTTTTTTTTTAAAACTAGGTTTGTGACTGTAAATCTCCCTTAAAGCATTTTTACCATATCTCATAGCTTCTAATATCTCATATTTTTCTATCATCCTGTTTTAGTTAAAGTTTCATTATGATTTGTTTCTTTAACCTAAAGAGTTACTTAGTGTGTGTGTGTGCATGTTTAAATTTCCATATGATCAGAGATAATTTTAATTTTTAAAATTATCTTCTAGCATAATTGTATTATTGTGAGATCTGAAATTTTTGAGGGTTTCTTTAATAGATGATATATGAGCAACTTTTGTAAAATGTTTCTCATGTGCATAAGACAATTGTATATATCCTAATGGATACATAAATAATTATATCCCCCTCCTTCCCTCTCTCTTTTTCCTTCCCGCTCTCCCTCTCTCCCCCAATTAACAATCAAGCCTGTTAATTGTGTTCTTGTTACATCTGTTAATTGTTTTACTTATTTTTCTTCTATATCTTTGCCGGTTTGTTTATTGTATAACCTGTAAATAATCAAGAGAGATGTATTAAAATTTCCTACTATGATAGCGGGTTTATTATTATAGTAATAATAATTTATGCTGCATATATTTTGAGGTTATTTTACTGGCGTCTATTTGTTTTAAATTGCTTTACTTCCTTAACAAATTCAATCTTTTTGTTATGTCATGATTCTCTCCATCCCAAATATTTTTTCTTCTAAAGTATATTTTATTTAATGTATCATAGTTCTCAACATTATTTTGATTATTGTATTTCTGGTAGGTCTTCTTTTTACTACACTCTTACTTCAAACTTTTGCATATTCAAATGCTTTAAGGGTTTCTCACATAAACCATGTAAATCTGAATTTGGGCTTTTAATCTCATTCATACATCTGTGTCTTTAAACCAGTAGGTTTCCTCTATTTATATTTATTGCAATTATTAAGATCTTGTAGTTGCTACTATCATCTTAATTTGTTATTTCTATGTGTCCCTCTTTTTCTACATTCCTTTTGACTCCTGTCTTAATTATTATTATTATTATTAAAATAATAGAGACAGGGTCTCAGTCTCTCACCCAGACTAGAGTGCGGTGGCGTGATTTCAGCTCACCGCAACCTCCGCCTCCCAGGCTCAAGCGATTCTCCTGCCTCAGCCTCCTGAGTAGCTGGAATTACAGGCACCCTGCCACTACTGCCTGGCTAATTTTTGTATCTTTAGTAAAGACAGGATTTCACCTTGTTGGCCAGGCTGGTTTCAAACTCCTGACCTCAAATGATCCATCCACCTCAGCCTCCCAAAGTGCTGGGATTTTAAAGATATGAGCCACTATGCCCAGCCTATTTTGTAACTGAAACTATGTCTCACCCTAAATAAGGCAAGGACTCTCTGATCCCTTGGCTCCCCACCCCTGCTTGCAGCACCCATCATATTGACCAAACCTATACCCCGGGTTTTACTTAAAATGTGGTCCAGGGACCAGCAACATCAGCAACAACTGAGAACTTATTTATTAGAATTGCAGAACTTTAGGCCCCATTTCAGACCTACTGAATCAGAATTCTCATGTAAGCAAGAGCTCCAGGTGTTCATATGCACAATAAGCTTCCAGAGTCAGTAAACTAGACTTAACAATAACAACAACAAAATCTGTGGCCAGGCAAAGTGACTCATTCCTGTAATCCCAGCACTTTGGGAGGCAGAGGCAGGCAGACCACTTGAGTCCAGGAGTTCGAGACCAGCCTGGGCAACATGATGAAACCCCATCTCCACAAAAAATACAAAAATTAGCCAGGCATGGTGGCGCATGCTTGCAGTCCTAGCTACTCAGGAGGCTGAGGAGGATCACGTGAGCCCAGGAGGCAGAGGTTGCAGTGAGCTAAGATCGTGCCACTATACTCCAGCCTGGGTGACAGAGCCAGACCCTGTCTTTAAAAAAAAAAAAATCTGTTAAGATGATAGATCTCACATTAAGTGTTCTTGCCAAAGAAAAAATGTAATAAAGTTTCAAGGTTTGGGCTAAGGAAGGGACGAGCAGACATTTCACTGCTGCTTCAGCATAAGGGTGTAACTCAGTTAATGACTGAGTGTAGGTAGGTAGCAGTGGGATGCCCTTCTTCAACCTGCCAGTGGAAACCCTCCAAACAGGCCAGAAAGGATTTTTTCTGTCTGAACTTGTAATTCTTTTTCCAGATGGTCTGAATGTCTAAAGGGACTTCTAACCCTTCTTATATACCTTTGATTACCACTTCCATGTAGGTTTCATCATATTTGGGAGAAATGTCCAAATCTAGAGAATTCTCTTTTTTGTTTGTTTTTTTGAGATGGAGTTTCCCTCTGTCGCCCAGGCTGGAGGGCAGTGGCGCGATCTCAGCTCACTGCAACCTCCACCTCCCAGGTTCAAGCAATCCTCCCACCTCAGCCTCCCAAGTAGCTGGAATTACAGGCATGCACCACCATGCCCAGCTAATTTTTGAATTTTAGTAGAGATGGGGTTTCACCATGTTGGCTGGGCTGGTCTCGAACTCCTGACCTCACGTAATCCACCTTCCTCGACCTCCCAAAGTGCTGGGATTATAGGCATGAGCCACCGTGTCTGGCCCAAATCTAGGGAATTCTTATTTCATCTTCAAAGGAGATGGACTCATCCTTTCCTCAAAAACCAGATTTTACAAAGGAGAAAGAACAGCACAGCAGAAATGATCCCAGCCCTAACATCACAAAATACTGTCCTTGGTCCCAGTTCTGCCTCTTGCAGCTGCCACATGACTCTGCAGCAGAGACTCCTTCCTTGTGATTCTATTTCCTCACTTGTCAAGGATGGATCGCGTGCCCCTCACCTCATCTCATCAGATTATTGGATGGGTCTCCAAATCCAAGTAAAATAAAGTATTTGAAAGTACTTGAAAAGTATCATACAAAAAAGTCAAGGGAAACAAATTTGAAGAGATCATCGAGAAATACATTTTCCCAAAATCTTTAAAAATGACTGCAATACTCACAGGTTCCTTAACAACCACCACCACAAAAGCAGTGTGAGATCAATGGAAAAAAATCGAGCCTCATTCTCACCCCTGCCATCACTGATTCCCTGCTGCAGAGTTAATTCCACAGTGGATTAGTGACCAGTTCCCCAGAAGTCTCTATCTGACAAGTGATACCAGGCAGAATATTCATGCGAAACTAAAACTCAATCTTCAGAACTAAGAATTGTATAGAAAAAAGATAAAGGAAAAGAAATTTAACATTTTTTGAGAATCCAATGGATATCAGGTACTTTTTTTGCATTATTTCATGGAATCTTCATAATCATGCTGTAAGAATGGCATTTTATAGGTAGAGAAACTAGGGCCCAGTGAGATTAAATGGTTTATTCAAGGTCACATGGCTACAAAGTCACTGAGGAGAAATTTAATCCATGATCTTTCTCTTGGACCACTGAGGTCCAGAAATCCAGAATAGGGTGACCCGGATGATATTCTGGAAACATGGCATTATTTACTGTGAAAAGAAATTGCAGCTCAACATGAAGCAGAAATATTGCTGCTCATATCTCTCAGGCAGAACTTTGACTGTCACAGCTCTAAAGAGCTTCATTTGTGCTGTGTTCTACCAAGCTTTGCCATCATCCAAAAAACAAAGCAGTGGTGCCACATAGCAGAATGGCCACACGTGTCAACAGATGGAGAGTTACCTGCACCATGCTAGTCCTATCGCCCACGTTGACCAGAATTTTGTCACCAGGAGACTTCCTGGACAAGATACCAGCGATCACGGCAGGATCCACGCAGTACTTTTGGCCGATGGTTTGCATCGTGGGTTGATATTTCAGGAGGTATGGCATGTCTATTTCAGCCAGCCTTTCAGAAGCACGAACTCCTAAACCAAACACAAAAGGAAGGATGCAGCTTGGTGTGACTTATGCTGCAACGGGAGCTCAAGGGAAGAGAGAAAGAACAGTCCAAGGATCTGGGTAGTGGTCGAGGACTGAGAATCCCAGATTTTGGTCTTAAATCTTTAGTAGTGGCCGCTCCCTGACCTGAGGTTAGGACTGTCCTCCCGTGAACTTGAGTCAGCATCTCCTGAGCCAGAGTCCCCTATGGCTGTCAGTGCTCTTCGGCTGGGCTCTCAGGGGCTGCTCTGGCCCGCCCAGGACAATTCCATGGCGATAGGAACCATTGATCCCATTCTAAGCACCCCAATAAAATAAAATGTGCCTGCCTATCAGCTGCAACATGACATGAAGGAGAAATTCTGCCAAACCCTTCAATAAGTCCTTAGATAGTGTTCCTCAACAAGTTTGTTCACAATTGCACAGTTTTCCACTCCTAAACGACACCAAGAAATCACGCGAGTTTAAACCTTTCTGAAATAATAAGAATGCTGGGCAAAAGGAAAGCCAATATTAATCTACTTGGCTAGCCTTACCTTCTAGGTGCTTTTATGGTTTAAAAAGAACTCTCGACCAGGCACAGTGGCTCACACCTGTAATCCCAGCACTTTGGGAGGCCAAAGAGGGAGGATCACCTGAGGTCAGGAGTTTGAGACCAGCCTGACCAACATGGTGAAATCCCATCTCTACTAAAAATACAAAATTAGCCAGGCATGGTGGCACGTGCCTGTAATCCCAGCTACTCGGGAGGCTGAGGGAGGAGAACTGCTTGAACCTGGGAGGTGGAGGCTGCAGTGACCCGAGATCACACCATTGCACTCCAACCTGGGCAACAAGACAGAAACTTCATCTCAAAAAATAAAAATAAAAACAAAAAATAAAAATAAAAACAAAAAATAAAAAGCACCCTATCCACATTGTGTCGGTCAGAACTCACAACAACACTGTAAATACTGTACTGCTAGCCCCCTTTCCGTGGATGCAGGAGGCAGCTAAGTGACTTGTTCAAGAAGCAGAGCTTTGGGACCCCATACCCGGAACCCGGAACTCTTTCCAACAGTCAGTAGCGTGAGACATGGGGAACAGTGAGAGCCAGGGGGACAGGTTGAGAGGGCAAGAGCTCATAACTACCACAGTAGTTGAGGCCGTGATGTCTTCCAATCCCACAAGACGCTCCAGGGGTGTCCAGGGTTTGGATGTTTCCATAGCATCCCCAGTTGCTGCTTTCAGACAAGTCTACAAGTTGAGAAAAGTTCAGCCTAAGGCACGGAACTAGTTCTTATCATTCTGCTGTCCATGACTAAAATTACGTTAATAAAAGTAACTATAATAAAATCAATTACATCACCTTCACTCTGCAATTGAAACTCTTGAAATTTAAATGAGACATATCCCAAAAAATGATCACAAAAACTTCCTCAATACTCAATTCTCACCTGCTCTCCTGCAGACATGAGTAACTATTGGAGCTACTGAAGCAGTTACACTCTTTGTAAAGCTCTGGTGCCTTTGATGTTGTCAGCTGGTGTCTTGGAACACATCAGAGAGGATCTGTTCCCTGTAAAGTAGTCCTCATCTGACTTTGTTTTTTTTTTTTTTCTGAGACGGAGTCTGGCTCTGTCACCTAGTCTGGAGTGCAGTGGCACGATCTCGACTGTTTGCAACCTCTGCCTCCTGGGTTCAAGTGATTCTCCTGCCTCAGCCGAGTAGCTGGGATTAAAGGTACATGCCACTACACCCAGCTAATTTTTGTATTTTTAGTAGAGACGAGGTTTCACCATGTTGGCCAGGCTGGTCTCGAACTTTTGACCTCAAGTGATCCGCCCGCCTTCGCCCTCGCCAAAGTGGCTGGGATGACAGGGTGAGGGCCACCACGACCCAGCCTCATCTTTCATCTTACATGAACTCTGAGCACTTCTCCATCAAATACTCCTAACTTGTTGCTCTGATGAAATTTTTATGTTTGCTCTGAAGAACAATATAAAACTTGGATGTCTCTGGATATCAACCGCAGATCCAAAGTAAGGCACTGCTTGAAATGGGGATTTGAGGGCTGGCTACACTTTCTCTCAGGTAACTTCTAGATAAGAGCCTAAGGCTGCAGAAGGGAGTGAAGGAGAGAGGCATGGGAACCAGTCTCCACATGGGATCAACCCACTTTCCACTTCTTCCTCTCTCTCTTTATCCTTTCCATCTCTCTCTACTGTCATTCCAGTCATCACGGGAAGGGGAGGAGTGGTTTCAGTACACACTCGGGATTTCACAAGGCCATTGAAGAGGAGAAGGTTCCTTTCTCTTCACCCCCAGGAGGAGGGTGCATGAGTATTTCGATCTCAATTCACACAAGGTGGTCACAAGTATTTATATATATCTACAATTCAACACCAGAATGGTGCCATGAACCAGTACTGAGATACCTACAGTAGGCAGGAAATTGCTCCTTTTGAAAATATGTCACAATTATAAGGCTGTAAGAATGTTCTCATTAGATTACCTTTTTATTTATTCATTTTATAGACAGGGTCTCCCACTGCCACCCAGGCTGGAGTGTAGTGGCATGATCATGGCTCACCCAGTCTCAACTCCCAGGCTTGGACTGTCCTGCCACCTCAGTCCTCTCAAGTAATTGGGACCACAGGCACAAAGCTACCACACCTGTCTAATTTTTGAAGAGTGATTTTGCCATGGTGCCCAGGCTTGGTCTCAAACTCCTCAGGCTCCAAGCAATTTGCCCCACCTCACCCTCCAAAGAGTGCTGGGATACAGGGCGTGAGCCACCGCACCAGCAGGCAGATTACTCTTTTTCAAATGTATTTGATTCTTAAAGAGATTAGATTATTCAAAACCTTAAATGATTGTTAGATCTTGGGAGATATATCTATTGCATATAATCATCATGTCTGTCGTATTTACATAATTGCATTTATCAGGTTTCTATTTTCTTAAAACTTTATGGGTTGTGATAAATAACTCATTCTTTTGGAGTAAATACTTCTACTTTAGCAAACTTGTGATAAGTAAGCGTAAGAGAAATGTGGAAAATCGACACACAGACTGCGATCTTGTTGAATAGTATCTAAAAAGTAAAACCAGCTGAACCATGTTCTTTTTTTTAAACAGTGCACCTTTATCTTTATGACTGGTGACAAATGCCCTTAGCATTGCAGTTGATTGCCTTCACCCGTTGGTTCCTGCCTTGTGGACCTCTCCCTAGCCACACTCTCTGATCCTCAAAGTTCTTTGTATTCCCGATGCTTAGCACCTTGTAGGCATTTTTACATATTTGTTGAATGAATGGGTCAATAACTAAATGAATTACTATAAGACCTCATCTGAGAAATATATTGAATTTAGAGTCAGGAAAATGTAGCTTCTCCTGAGGAACTTTGCTTCCTCCTTTTATTAAAAAACAAGTAGGCCAGGCGCAGTGCATTACCCTGTAATCCCAGCACTTTGGGAGGCCTGATCACGAGGTCAAGACTTCAAGACCAGCCTGGACAACATGATGAAACCCTGTCTCTACTAAAAACACAATAATTAGCCGGGTGCAGTGGCAGGCGCCTGTCATCCCCGCTACTTGGGAGGCTGAGGCAAGAGAATCGCTTGAAACTGGAAGGCAGATGTTCCAGTGAGCTGAGATTGCGCCACTGCCCTCCAGCCTGGGCGAAAGAGCAAAATTCCATCTAAAAAAAAACGAAAACAAAAACAAACAAAAACAAGTACGTTCCCTGTTTCCTCCAGCTGCAAAGCTGAAGTTCAATCACAGCAACTAAATCAGCCTCAATGTTTAGCTTAGCCACCTGTTCTCAGTTGCCTTGATTCTCGTTTTCTATTTGAATTAGTCTTATTCATTAGTCTTATTCTGGCAACCACCTCAATTCTTCTATGGAAATATATGCTCTAGAAAGAAATTCAATTTGGCATTTTTTATAGTGGACAATGAGCAGCTGTCGATGGTGTATATTTAAAGTCTGGCTTCGAGCAGTGCTGTTTTAAGTCCACCTTGCATTCCAGAGAACCCCACTCTTTTGTGGGACATATGGGGAGAGGTTTCTTGTTGGTGGCTGTTCCTAACTCCGGGATTTGTTGGACAGTTTAGGAAAAAAAAAAATAATGTTTTTGTTGCATTTTCAAGTATTAGAAGTGCCATTATGTTCCTACACCTATCCTTCCCATCTCCAAAGTCATTTGGAAAAATCAGCCACACTCACCCATCAGGGCAAGGAGGCCCAGCAGCAGCCACAACGCAGACATGACGACGAGCTGGCTCTACGGCTCCTGAAACACTTTTAAAACAAAAATTAGCTTGAGAATACAAAAATGTCAATCATCATCATAACAACATGTAATGTTTCTAGAGAAGCAGGGGTGAAAAGAACAAATTTCCCCCATATCTGACCTAAGAAAATGAATGATTTGAATCATAGTGGAAAAAAGCAAAAGTAGGACAAGTAAGTACTCCATTCATCCTTTCAATTAATCTAAAAATGAGGAGACTCTTACCCAGCCCACAGGAACTCAACATACAGTCAAGTTACCAACTACTTTCTCGCAAGAAGGCAAGAAGCTTTGAATCTTAACCACGGAGAAACATACTGACCTGGCTCCAGACCCTGAAAAGCAAATTTCTGGTGCTCATACCTCATCCCAAGAGCCTCTTGATTATCTCCATTATCAAAAGGAGAATTTTGTATGGGTGATTTCTTGGAATTTAGGTCCCTTCTTCTTGAGGTTTGAGGAAAGACCACACTTTCCTCAGTGCCCTGGAATGTACACAGGTTGGAAAACATTTCCCACTGCTCTAATCCCAGCCGGGAATCACAGACCCCCTTTATCACCTTGAGCCGTGTTCCCCATTCTCCCACTGTAAAACCCCAATGTGGCAACAAACCTGGACCGGAGCCCGGGGAGAATGGAGAGATGAGCTACCTCCACCAGCAAATCCCCAAGAAGCTAGCTCATGGGCAGGGGTCCCGGGATTGAACTCATGAGGTGCTCACAAGACTGGAGAATGAACACCTGGCCACCACAGAGCACCCGCTCATGTGCTCTCTCTCTCTTATCCCCGCCATTCCCCTAGTCACCTTCCACGAGTACAGACAGCCCTGGTTCTCCTACTGGCTACCAAACCAATACACAAATACCACCCCGGATAGTTTGCTGTTGACCTCAGGGAAAGGTAGCGTTTCGGGACCCTTGTCTCCAAAGCGCCTCCCACCAAGCCCTCCCACTCCAGCATGTATGTCTTCATTGCCCCAGTCAGCAGAGCCCGGCAGCCTAGCATTTTGAATTATTACTGTCATTACATGTGGGACTGTGCATATAAACATGGCACTTAGTACTTTCGTGATGCTTTTCTCATCTCTTTTGTTTTGAGGTTAATCGTATGGGTTGTTTCTTTCAAACACCCAGGAAGAGACTACATCTCAGGATAGAGAGGCTTTAAGGAAGTCATTTGAAGCCAGGTGTGGTGGCATACACCTGTAGTCCCAGCTACTTGGGAGGCTGAGGCAGGAGGATTGCTTGAGCTCAGAGGGTCAAGGGTGCAGTGAGCTATGATCACACCACTGCACTCCATCTTGGGAAACAGAGCAAGAGCCTGCCTCAAAAAAATAAAAATAAAAATGGAAGTTATTCGATTTCTGTCTTCTTAAACTGAGGGAGCATATGCCCTTCAGATGCAGTCACGCTTTCTGTTATTCTCTCTACAACATTGAGATAGTCTGTCTGATTTTGCTTAGTTGAGCAGAAAATGTCATGCTCAGTCCCAATACCAAAAAGACTCAGGGACCTGGAATCTTAGCTAGGTCTGCAGGAACTCTCAGATTTAATCACCCAACAGGAGTCATTTGTTCAGCACCCTGAGCCTCCAGCAGTAAACATGAGAGGACAACCAATCCCAGGAGAAAAGAATGGAGAAAGAGCTGCTTGGGTGTAAGAAAAGCTCATGGCCTCATGAAAGTGCACCACTGGCTTTATGGAAGGGCCCTTCAGAAAAAAGCACTGCTCACATTCAAAGGCTCCACCCAGAGTATTTCACTCTTTTTGCTGCTTTTCCAGGAAAGAAAAATACTTCCTCTTAGAAATCCAGGTGGAAGGGCCAGCTTTTATTGTAACAGGAGAACTACCTTATTTTCCATGCTTGGAACTAAATACCTTTGTTGAGAAGTCGCTTTAATGAAAGAGTCTCTGTAAATACATGTGCCACCTAATGGAAACACAGAATTACTTTCTGGTTGCTCCTGGGACCGGGTCATGAAGGTAAAGTTTTTCAATTTCATCAGGGAAGAGCAAGAAGTGACAATGGACTTTTTTTTTTCCTTAGAGCCAGAGATTCACTTTGTCACCCAGGCTGGAGTGCAGTGGCACGATCATGGCTCACTGCAGCCTTGACCTCCTGGGCTCAAGTGATACTCCCACCTCAGTCTCCCAAGTAGCTGAGACTAGAGGCATATGACACCATGCCCAGATAATTTTTTAGGTTTTTTTTGTAGAAATGGGTCTCACTATGTTGCCCAGGCTGGTCTTGAACTTCGGGCCTCAAGTGATCCTTCCACCTCAGCTTCCCGAGTAGGTGGGATTACAGGCTTAAGCCACCACACCTAGCTTGGAATCCTTAAATGGATGAACAGTGTATTTTGTCCATAAATAAGCATGCTGAAGCCACCCAAACTCTATGGCCCAACTTTATAAGTGCCGAAAAGTACTCTATGTTTAGAAGAGATTGTTGAGACATCACTCGGGTGTGCTCAAAGAGTGTCGGTCAGTTCCCTATGACTCATTCGTTAATTCCCCTGTGGCTTCCTGCTTAAAACCATTATGAAGATGTCAGACCAAGGCAGCACAGTGGTCACGACGTCAGGCACAATGTCTCTGGTAGCATCCCTCTTCTCCCTACCCAGAGAGCAAAATAGTAACAAACAGCGAGGAGGTGTCAACAAGCTGGAGCAACAGGCCTGCCAGGCACACTGGAAACTGACAACCAGAGCATCCCTCAGGAGCTACCTCACGTTCCTGGTGGCTTGGATGGGGACACCTTCCTCTACTCACCCTCTCTCCACTGAGTACTTTGGAATTCCCAAAGCACTGTGTAAGTTTGTAAGGCATAATGGACCATGTCTTCTTCAGTTCATCAATGTTTCTGGAGAAGGTGGAAACAGGTATTTTTGGTCTCGTGGTTTTCTCACCTTAGAATCTTTTCCATGAATGCCCTCAATCTTTACCTTAAGCTTAAACAGCATCATTGCAGGTCACTGGGGCCCTCCATCCAGCCCAGAAATGTGACGGATTAACACCTCAACATGCTGAGCAATGAAGGTGCCCCTGCCCCCTTGTGGTGTCCCCATCTAATTACGAGAGAAGTAAGAACTGCTGTATGCATCCACATTAGGTATGGTCTCCTGCTCTAAGCTGTGTTGTCACCTGTTTATTGCTAACATGTCTCTGTGCCTGCTTACTCATTGTGTGCCGATAGGCCTTTCTTTTTTTCATGTTTAATTTTAATTTTATTTTTAATTACTTTTTGGTTTGTTGGGTTTTGCTTTGTTTTGTTTAAGACAAAGTCTCACTCTGTTGCCCAGGCTGGAGGGCAGTGGTGCGATCTTGGCTCACCGCAACCTCTGCCTCCTGAGTTCAAGTGATTCTCTTGCCTCAGCCTGCCGAGTAGTTGGGATTACAGGCACGCCCCTCCACGCCCAGCTAATTTTTGTATTTTTAGTAGAGATGGCGTTTCACCATGTTGGCCAGGCTGGTCTCGAACTCCTGATCTCAGGTGATCCACCCACCTCAGCCTCCTAAAGTGCTGGGATTACAGGCATGAGCTACCACACCTAGCGCCTGGGTTTTTTGCTTTTTATTTTTTTATTTTTTATTTTTTATTTTTTTATTGAGACTAGGTCTCAGTCTGTCTCCCAGGCTGGAGTGCAGTGGCCCAAAATTGTGGAATCATCTCACCATTATACGCCTGTAAGAATGTCTCATTAGATTACTCTTTAATTTTTAAAATTGTTTTAATTTTTTGTTGTTGTTGTTTTTTGTTTTTTGTGTTTTTTTTGAGACAGGGTCTCACTGTCACCCAGGCTGGAATGAAGTGACGTGATCTTGGCTCACTGCACCCTCGACCTGCCTGAGGTCAGGTGATCTTCCTGCCTCCGCCTCTGAGTAGCTAAGATTACAGCTGTGTGCCACCATGCCCGTCTAATTTTTGTATTATTAGTAAAGACAGGGTTTCGCCGTGTTGGCCAGGCTGGTCTCAAACTCCAGGGCTCAAGTAATCCACCTGCCTCAGCCTCCCAAAGTGCTGGGAACCACCAGCACCAGGCCTATTTTTAAATTATTTTAAGTTTTTTATTATTTTTACTTTTCACTTTTTTTAATTTTTGTTTTTTTTAATTTTTAAAATTTTAATTTTATTTCATTTTTAAAATGTTTAAATTTTTAAATTTGTTAAAGGCCTTTCCAGTAGCATTACGTCATACTCATCCTCCTCTTGCTATTCTAATCTTCTCCCTCCCTACATACACACACACACACACGTACACACACACACACACATGTACACACACACACGCACGTACAGCAACACTCCAGCCTATTGCCTCACAGATTGCTAGGCACCAAGAGGCCTACAATTAAAATAGTAATAGCAATGCAGTCACGAATATAAAATAATATAAATTATTCTGCCACTAAGATCATGTTTTCTTGAGAAAAATATAACTTTTTAGAATAAAAACATAAGCAGCAACATGAAGGCTCATTTTAAGCCGTTACGTTGTATAGAGTTGCACTTTCACATGGCCTGTGAAAATATATATTTACTGAATTTGGATTGTGATCAATAATGACCAGCCTAGAAGACCTCTGAAAGTTTGATCATTCTCTTCCCTCTGGGCAGGCACAGCTTTTCCCTGCAGAGAGACACTGTGAGCTGGAAGGGAGCTCCTTCTCTCAGCGCGTCCTCTGTGCCTGCTTTTCCCATTTGGGTTTTTGAGAGTTCAGAACTCCAGGAAGGATCTTCCTATGCTGGAGATTTCCCTGCCAATGTTTCATTTCTGGCACTAAAGAAGAAATCAGAGAGACCTTGGCCTCTCTGTTCCGTCTGTGGACGCTAGAGGCTCATCTGTCCTTTTTATCTGTCCGCCGAAGACTGTTAACATGTTGGGCTTGGTTCTTTCACAGGTTGCAGAGAAAATAAGACTGTTATAGAACCAACACTTATGGCGTATGGGTTAATGTAGCGTTGGCAAGACTGTCCATGAGGGCAGGCAAGGATTTATTAC